TGTCTAACTATGAGGTCTATGAATGATGTCTAACTATGAGGTCTATGAATGATGTCTATCTATGAGGTCTAACAATGAGGTGTAACAATGAGGTCTAACTATGAGGTCTAACAATGAGGTCTAACTATGAGGTCTAACAATGAGGTCTAACTATGAGACGAAACGTCTGACATGTCCAAACAATATTAACAATAACTGAACCTCCAGGGTTTCGTTTCAATAAGCAGGTTTTCAATAATAAGCAGGTTAGGATTAGGATTTATTTAGTAATAAAAATCTAGTGAGCCTCCTGGCACAGTCTGAAGCCTTTCTATGGGACTGATTACCGCTAATAACGACCATTTATTGGGACGATAACATCCACAGCGGCTGCAAACAGAAACCTAGTATTTACTGTGTAAAAGAGACTGAATCAAACTGAAGAGGAACCCATGAGATGATGAACAGGTTCTACCTGTTAGGTCATGTTTTTATTCTTCACCTGCTGACAGATGATTTCACCTGAATAGATACATTAATGTACTACCATATCAAGAAATAAACCCGTAATGTTACTGTGGTCCAAACCACACATCTAGAATAAACTTTCTAGCAGCTGCTGTCATTGAGTTTTTATTTATTCACTGATTTAACCGGTTGGTATTACTGCAGCCATTGTTCTTCATGCCTTTTTTATGTTTTTATTTCTTTTTTTATTGACCTACTCAGACCTTTGATCACTTCTGCGCTTAAAGCTCCATAAATAAATCTGAATAACTGGTTCAGATGATCACAGTTCAACCAATAATCTTTCAGCTTCACCGTCTGCTTCTGTCCACTGAGGCTCCCCAGGAAAAGGGGGGAATCACCATAGCAACCATTCAGCTAATCTATCAGGTTTGAGTTTTAAAAAGCAGACCAAGCTGCAGCTTTTGACCGATCAGGGCTGAGATTCGTAGGAATGGAGGTTTGGTCTGAGAGCAGCTTGTTTCTCCAGGCTGGTAAAGGTTAGAAGAAATGTGAACCTGTGGTGTAATCCAGACGATCCTCCTGCAGGATGACGGTGAGCATCAGGACGATCTGAGGAGCGCTCTCTGAGAAGGTCTCGATGATCCTCAGCATGCTCAGGTCGTGGTTCAGCGACACGGCCAAATCCTTGGGCTCACTTCCTCCGTTCCAGCTCTTCACGGCGGTCTCCACGACAGCAAAATGTCTGGAAAAACCAGGTTGCACAAAGTCAATAAAATGCTTCTGAGGAACTGCTCCACTCGAACCTGGAGCATGACTCATCATTAAACCTGTTTCCTCTGACAGGCGGAAGGCAGACTTCCCTGATGATGCAGCAGAAGCTGCCGGTCTGATTGGAAACCTGGTGTGTGTGGAAGAGATTAACCCCTAGTGGAGACATCAGGAACTACCATCCCACCAAACCAGACAGGAGGAATGCAGCTGATCTAAAGTCGGTTGGAATTTCTTCTAAAGCCCAAATTGGTTCAGGTCTAAAGTTAGACGTTACAGATTTAGTTCTTCTGACAGGAATAATTTCACATTATGGGGCGGCCTAATCCAGGTCCTTACAGATTATGGCCGGCCTTCCCAAAGCCGCTGTCCTGCAGGTTTTAGACGGTTCCCTGCTTCAGCAGCAGCCTGTTCATCAGCAATCAATGGAAATCAGGGAAAGCTCTAAAACCCTCAGGCCTGATTAGGGTGATGGTAAAGAGGCCTTCCAACCAAAGGTAAATCCTCAGATTGAAGAAAACATGGAGGGAATTATTCCAGCGAGAATAAATAGGTTATTTAGGAAGCTGTTAATGACGGTTAACATCCCATTACTGAAGGAAATCTGTTTTCTCTTTCCAGCCAATAAATCATTTATGGTTTAATTTAATCGAATCTTAATAAATACTGAGACCAAATTATTAGACGTTTCTTTATATCGGTCACATGTCCATAACTCTTAGCTTAGGTTAATATTTAATGCTTAAATAATATAAAGAAAGCATTTTTTTTAAATATTGAAACATTAAGCAAATATCTAAATATTTTTATTTATTTGATGTTTTATAATCTATTATGTGATGGTGGAGATTCTTAGTCATCATTCCATAAAAAATAAAAATCAATCAAATAATTCATAATGAATTCAATTAATTTCAATAAAGAAATAAACTGAAATGAATTTCATAGTAAATTGAGAAAAACCTGGAAATTTTTTTACTCATTTACTTTAACTAATTAGATGCCATTTTATACAGCCAACAATTGAGCTATTTTTAGCTTTAATATATTTTTAATTAAATCAAATCTTAATAAATACTGAGACCAGATTATTAGACATTTCTTTATATCTGTCACATGTCCATAACTCTTAGCTTAGGTTAATATTTAATGCTTAAATAATATAAAGAAAGCATTTTTTAAATATTGAAACATTAAGCAAATATCTAAATATTTTTATTTATTTGATGTTTTATAATCTATTATGTGCTGGTGGAGATTCTCAGTCATCATAAAAACAATTCGCTGGATTTTTTTAAATAATTCATAATGAATTCAATGAATTTCAATAAAGAAATAAACTGAAATTAATTTCA